GACCACATAAACTCTGCAGATAATTGTAAGGTGTATGGGCACCTTTACCCTCATGTCCTTCCCTGCTGAAAACAGTTTCACTAGACAGGAACTGAGGGGAAAAAAATGTGTCAAGGGCACATAAAGAAATTTAAAAAATAACAGGGGAAACAGGGGAAAATCTATCTAAAAGAGGCAGTAATGGATAGTAGTGGATGGATGGCAGTAAAAACCTTCAACATTGTATCCAAAACTATGAAAAAAAAGGCTAACCGAACACTTTAAATTAAGCAGTAATTGTTTATGATGTACTCAGTGCTTTATCAAACTAGATGGCAACATTGATCGCAGGTAGAAACTTTCCATCTACCATCATTTTCATCCAGGCATTTATTTTGTTCACCTGGATGTTAGCTAAACCCCTATATCTGCTCATTTATTAATGCTCCTGCACAGAAGCCTGGTAAAATGTTGATCAGTGGTGTACACCAACAAGTACTGCCTTCTCACTGCAGCCTCACACACACACATGGATGAATGTAAGAGGGAAGTTGCACACCATAGAATCATGGAACAGAGCATGCAGGGTAAGAATCAAGCTGAGCTGAATTACTGTATTTATGGTGGTAAATAGAAGGCACATGCTGCGTTTGCTAAATAGCAGTTGCAGCCTACTATGGGATTATACTTGTTACCTAGATTTGCTTTTTACTCCTGTTTTTGGTATTTTTCCATAGAAAAGATTTATTTTTCAATTGCACAATGGTGAGTAGAATTTTCCTTAATCAAACACTCTCCCTTTGTTCAAGTTAACTCATGCGAGATCTTGCTCAAAGGCAGTTACAGTATCTATCACTACTTTCCTAATGACCTACAGTGAAATCTATGTCTTTCTTATCCTGACTATAGAGGACCTTTCAAACTTCTGAATATCAATGTCTTTTTACCACACTAAAGGGGTGACCTTGTTTCCTTTGTAGAGGCCGCCTTTTCATTCTGAGCCTGTACATGTTTCTTTGCAATCAAATATTCTTAGTTACATAAAGACTTGCTCATAGATTGCATCCTGGGTAACTGTCCATTAATGCTCTTAATATATGTTTATAAACTGGCAGCCACAAGGTTCTCTGTAATGTCTTCAAGGCTTTGTCTCTCTGTCGATTGACTCTACTGCACATGTTTTGTGACATTTGTATGTCCCTCTTACTTTTATTCACCAATGTTTAGTGCATTAATACAGTATATTCATATTCATATAAGATATTCATGCCGATATCTTCTTCCTACAAGGAGTTTATGTGTGTAATGTTTGTGTGCTGTCCATTAAATCATACCTTCCAAATCTCCCTCATTTGTAACCAAAAGCCCCTGTGTCCCTCTATCCTCCTCAGTTGTCCCTCTTTTTGGTCTGTTGTACAGATATCTATAAAAAGGCTCACTTTAGCTTCACTACTAAAAGTGTTATTATACACTAAGAGGGTTATCCATAAAGCTGCCGAAGACAGCCGAGTGAGTAAACTACCCGAAGTGAAGTGAGCCGAACGCTATTCGGCTATTCACTTCAGGCTTGTACAGCTGATTTCAGTGGTACATCGGCTGAAATCAGCTGTAAATCGTCTCGCTTCAGCTGCACTTTGGTCAGCCGAACATGCTCAGCATGTTCGGTTGAGCCGAAGTGCTGAAGGATTTCGACTCAGCCGATCCAACATCTAGATCGGCTGAGCCAAAGCTCCGGCAGCTCACTCGCTGCTGTTCGCCCCTATTCAAATAAAAATGTAAATAAATAATAATACATTTAAAAAATAAATATTTACAAAAAATTAAAAAATTAAAATAAAACAATTGGGGGAGCTAGCAGTGACAGCTAGCTCCGCCCAACTGTTTCCTATTGGCTGGGACCTGCTAGAGTCTTCTAGCAGGTCCCGGCCAATGACTGTTTAATGGATCCTTTGGCTAGCTTTGTGAATAACCCTTTATCTTATCACCTAATTATCTTGTTAGCTATTTTGAAAAGCCAGTGTAAAAGAGAAGTAATGGAGAAAAAAACAAAACAATTATCATCTCAGACCGTTGGGAGGTATGTGTAAACAATTAACCCCTATAGTTATTTACATCGTACAGGAGAATGTTTTCATGTACAATGTAAGGCAGTGAATTTAGTTTATGTAAAGGCAATTGAAAATTAACGTTTGTTGCAATTAACCTACCTGGCGGTATGATATTCCTAGCATGGAAAATTCACCCCGAGCCAGACTCGGGAATACCGCCAGGGAGGTTAAGTGACATTAACAGAACTATTCGCAGAAGGGTAAAGTGCTTGGAGAAGGCAGGCGAAGTGAACAATCTAGGACAACAATGCTGAAATGGAAAGTGAGCTAAAGTGGAGAATTTTTCGAAATCAGGTATTTTGGCCTAGGTTGTTCCCTTCTCCAAACTCTTCACCATTTACAGGTTTACTTACAAAGCTGCCAAAGGCAGCAAAGTGAATAACCGAGCCGAAGTGAACAGAGCTGAACGACGTACGGCTTCAGCTGAACCTCCCGCAGCTCACTCGCTGCCATTCATCCCTATTCTCAAATCTGAGCATAGGGGTGAACAGTGAGTGAATAGCCGAATTCCGCCAAGCTATTCTGCTCGGTACCTCCGTGATAACGAGCAGAATAGAAAATCAGTAAAAAGAGTGGGAAAAAAGGTTGAAAAAATTATTTAACAAATCTGAACAAATAGTAACATTAAATAATATTTATATTTAAAAAAATTAAAACAATTGGGCGGAGCTAGCAGTGACAGCTAGCTCCACCCAACTGTTTCCTATTGGCCGATACCTACTAGAGTCTTCTAGCAGGTCCCGGCCAATGAATAACAACTGGACGGAGCCGGTCGTGGCATCACGGCCGGCTCTGCCCAATTGTTATTGTTTATTGACAGATCAGCGTCCCCAGGTCATTTGCGGGGACCGCCCTGCTCCGCCCGGCTGTCATTTGCTGGGCCCTGCTTCAGCTGTCACTTCGGCTCAGTCAAGCCAAAGAGTATGCTTTCAGCTCGGCCACCTTCGGCGGCTGTACGGGCAATTGTGAATAGCCCGCATAGCAGCACTTCGGTTGGAAAAGAGCAGAAGGATCAGCCGAAGCTATGGCTGTATCCTTCGAATCAATAGTGAATAACCCTGTATATATGTAAATAATGTTTATTTTAACTTTTGACATGCCACAGAAAAATTTGCACCCAGATTCAGATAAGCCCCCCTGCCTGCAGATCCGGCAAATCATCCTCCCCATGTTGAGGGCATGTGGCACACGCTCGTCCCTCTCCCCCCTTCCTGCACTGCCAGCCTGATACTCGGATCATGGTGGCATCCTTGTCTGTGCAGTTTTTTTTCTCCATCTTACAATGTAGGAAAAAACTGTAATTACCGGATCCACTTCAGTGTAAGGGCAGCTCGATCTAAACAGACGGACATCTGCTTACCCCCAATCTTGCACGATCAGGTCTGGCAAAACGGATCTCTGATCCATTTGTTTTTCTGGGCCTGGCTGGTGCCAGTTTTAAGCGGATGTCCATTCAGTTAGATCTGGCTGCCCATACACTAACATTGGGCTTCTGATAAGGTCTACCTGAAAAACTGGCAGGCGAACCTGATCGTAAAGCCTGTGTGAAAGGGGCCTATCAGAGACACAGAAAGCTATAAAAACCTGGCAGTGGTTAAACCATCATCACTCCATCCAAATCTAAAAAAAAGTTTTGCCTTTAGTTATACTTTAAGCATTCAACATGTCCTTTTCACAGGGTGGCTGTATTTACATTTTGTAATCCTCCGGCACACACACCACCTAACTCTACTCTGATATCTGGGGGAGTACTTCTGACTCCTGAACACGGTTTGTTCCTATTTCCCAGCAGGAGCTCACCTGACTCCTCTCCGACTTCTGGGGGAGTCCTCCTGACTCCTGAACACAGTCTGTTCCTATTTCCCAGCGGGAGCTAATTCCCCTAGACAGCATCCTTTCCTTAACAGCTGTGCAAACCTGTGCAATCATTGGGTGCTGGACACTGCTAAAGCCTTGACCCTGGACTGGAGCTGTCTTCCCTCCAGTATCACTTTGAAACCTCCCTGTTCCAGGATCCCAAGCAGAATCCAGAAAAACCCTTGCTTCCTGACACCTTTCAGCCCATCTGGCTGAGAGCCCTGGATGATCATAACACCCAATTCTACAGTGGGATTGTCACACAATACCACAATATTTTAAAAGAACATGATTACATTTTTGCATTTGATAAAAAACCTTTTTTTAATTACCTTTTCTTTATATTTTTCAGTCAACTTTTGTACACTGTTACTGATTCAAAAACCAGCACATCTGCACAGCTCTTCTCCTCAGCTTCCCACCAGTGCAAAAGGAAGATAGGTTTCTCTGTGATTTCAGGAGATGCAGGTACATGTTAATCCAAAGCCTCGCGTCCTAACACAGTGCAGACAGTGAGGTCTAGGTGCCAATTGCACTGTTTTGGCCAGCTATCAATCAGACTTCAAAGTGCTATTTCCAAAGTGGCCTCAACAGCTTTGTTATTCTCAGCATTGTTTCTAGATGTTGTAGATTTTGGTCAACACTGCATTATAATTACATTTATGTAAAGTTTAATGAGCTCTTAATCTTTGGTCCAAGCTGCTTTTATAGATAATTCATTCATTTTAGCAAAACAATTAGCCTAATTTTAGGTTTATAATGCAAATTATGCGAAGTGCCCCCCCCCCCACACCA